ACAGCTTGTGATTTGTGATTTGTTCATGAGCCAATGACCAGACAAAGTTGTCCCACTGATTGCATGTAGCGGCGTGATAAGGCTGCCATGGCGATTGTCTTCACGCAAGGAGAAAACACACATGAAGCAAGGCTCTGCTTTTTGTTTCACATACAGGTAAAATCCTCACAGGGGCTTATTTTGGCTACTGTCGGGAGTAACTCATCTTTATCCAGGTTCACACTTCAACCAGGCCCGCAGTTGGCAAACAGACCACATGAAGCCGCGATTCGTGCTGTCTCTCCTCAATCTCTTTCAAGTGAAAATCTGGAGCGTTCTCTTTCAAAAACGTCTGCTGAGACCACACTCTCTCTACACTGTCCAACAGAGCCTTTGCCTTTGTTTCTATTGTTTTCCCGACACTAAAAAAACAACCCTTGTTGTCCAAGATAGTTTCCAACGCCATGCAAGGTGTAAATCAAATTTTTTTTATTTTATACCATTGCCTGAATTGTTCATTCTGGCTATTTTTACATTGGCTTTTATGGGAGTGGGATCAGAAATGTGGTATCTAAGGAAACCCGGTGGGTAGATGACAAGGCTGATTAAGCCATTAAAGTCCTTGATTTGTATTTAGCATAATCTGGCCTGTCTGCAAATAAGGTGGCAGGGAGCTGGTTGCGACTGTTTTTATCAAAAGCTGCTAGTTAGCTCAATCAAAGCATCTGCTGGGAAGCATCAGCTTTAATTCAGCGTTAGGAGGAATAGAGAGGAGCTCTCTCGCTCTCGCTCTCTCTCGCTCTCTCTCTCGCGCTCTCTCTCTCTCTCTCTCTCTCTCTCTCTCTCTCTCTCTCTCTCTCTCTCTCTCTCTCTTAGGGGGTGAAGAGATTCATTTCTGTCATCTGAAGAGATGAGGAGTGATCTGCCATAGCCCATGTTCCTCCCAGCCTCAGGTCCTTTCATGTTCACAGCTTAATTTGAGCCAAACCAATGTTTATCATTCTGCAGCAACTGGGCCGAGTGGCTGGGAGGGAGGGCCGTGTTGTTGTTTTTTTTGTTTCATTGCTAAGAATGTTGTTTTGCTTGTGTCTGTGTTAGATTAGAGCTGCTCAAATCTAGTCACATAATGTTTTAATCAACATCTGCATTTTTTTGATGTTGTGTTACATGATGACACTTCATGGTTGCATAATTAGGAATCTAATTTATCCATATCAGTTGCTGAACAAAAATCAAATGTAGTTCAGTAGCAAATTGTCCGTTTATAGTGATGATCATATTTGCTTATAACTCATATATACATTAAGTTATATTGCGTAAACTTTAAACAAACTTGCATGGAGTTGTAGCAATTGATAATCCAAACTCATAGAGATTAATTGACTGTTGATGTAAATGTTTAACTAGCTATTAGGCTGTTTTACTAGCTTTGGCTTACTTGGTCAGAACTGAGAGAAAATGAGAATGTAACACCTAGGGATGCAGCTAACGATGATTTTAGTACTCGAAGCTTCTACAGATTATTTCATCGATGCTTCGTCAAGCGCTGCCAAGCAAAAGAAGGACTTTTGTTTCATTGCTAAGAAGGACTTTTGCTTAGCAAAAAGATTGATGCAAAGAATTTGTGTCGATGCTTTTTAGTAATCGAATTAATAATTTAATCTAATCATTTCAGGCCTAGTAACACCACAGACTGGGGAAACTTTAGTATTACATGATGTCTGATTGCGAAATGCTTTGTGTTTTATTTTTTAACTGGTTATAATTTGATGACGCTTGTTTCATATATTGCATCGGGTGTCCATTCTTTTGCAGCTGCCAGTGTCTCATCTGTGCTTTGAGTTCTTTGCTTTTGTACAAATGAGTGGTGGGTTAATGCTCCGTGCTCATGTGAAAATAAAGAGAAATCTTTTTGGGTACCGTTAATGCCTCTCAAGATTTTGTAAAAAAGTGTAAACCTAAATGCGGGAGATGTACATAAATGTAAAAGAGTTCAGTATGAGCGTACGTTTATCCTCCACTACATCTCTGCTTATAACCACAGCTTATTTGAACATATTGTTAATGTTTTTTCGTTTAACTAGACTCCATATCTTTTTTCATCAGTGATGTGGAGGCAAATTACATTTTCAGTTCTAGCCTTTCTTCTCTCTCTCACTCTCCTTCCCTCCCTCTTCTCTCACTCAGCTGTACACTCCTCGTCTCTCCAAAAAGCAAGCGGGCTGTCGTCTCTCCCTTCTGTCTGCCCCATCTGTGATGCAGTATGGGCCACTGGCTTGATAATGATAGGCAGGCGGAGCGCGGGGCTGTGCACAAGGCAAAGCGGGAACAAACCAACCTGCTAAAATGGAAGACAAAACTCTAATCAGTTGCCTCACCAAATCTACCACAGGTCTTGCCTTGCTGATAAAAGGTTTGCAGCAGCGGGTGTTTCTCTGCCGCACGTTCCTCCCACCCGTGCAAATGTGTGACATCTGTGTCATACAATGCAGAGAGGCGCGTTGGTAAAGATGCGCAGTACAGTGTCTTGCTAACACAGCAGATGCAAACCCCTCTGAAAGCCCTCGGACCAGAATTGATACCATGTGTTTTTCTTTCCTCATCACCCCTACTTCCTCCCTGTACTTGTGTTAGACGAGAAAGCCCAGAGGCTTTTTAAAACTTTAATATACTGTACAATCACAGTAATTGAGTAGACTTTTCAAGTTCTTCCAGTCATGGTTTTAATTTATGAAGTCCCTATGAAAGTTTAATGGATCAGCAGTTGTAGAGTTGCAGCTATCTAAATCCTTCTGCAGCTATCTCTGCCTGTGCTGCCTGCCAAGTCCCGCCGTTAGCGTCCTGTGCCCTAGAAAGATGGCCAGATTGTTCCAAAGGCATGACTGTTGCTGGACGTCTGTTCAACACATTGTACCTAGAGGTCTTTCACAGAGCCGTACGATTGGCTGCAAGCTAGCAAACCGAGTGTTGGCATCAATTCTGATGTTGTTTACCAAATATCCACTGTGTAAGTTTGGGGTTTCTTTTCTTCTATTGTATTATTCATGCTAGCAAGCACAGGATCCCTGTTGCTTGATGAGTGTAATATAGCATGCTCACTTAATTATAGAGCAGCTCTCATGAGAGGTATATCAGAAAATGTTGACAAGATGAATATGGTACCCTAGCTTCTCTTGCTTATGAATTGTGGGAAATGCAGCAATTTGCATGGCAGGAGATATGATATGCCACATCCTTGTTCCAGTTTTAGCAACACTAGCCTAGACCGTACTTGAGATGTTTATTATTGTTATTAATATTTTGTCAGGAAGCGGGGATCTGAGTGACACACGGCCCTAGAAGGGGCTTATTACAAGAAGTTATTGTTTGCGATTGCCATCGAGAGATACAACACAGTGATTTATGGTGTGTTTTACAGCTGACAAAAAAGCGCAGGGAGACTCAGACCTGGGAGGACAACCCTGAGAAATCACTGCTTTACCTCTAATGAAAGAAAGTTTTACCTACTTAATGTCCTTAATGTTTGTTTTTGATATTATATCATGATTGCATCACAAGCTCTAAAACGAAAACCAGCTTGTTACAGCATTTCTCTCTCTGACTTGACAGGTAGTGGGACAACACAAAGACACAGATTACTCTAGCAGTCTTTTGTCACTCCTAAACAGTAATAAATTTAGACCATCTCAGTCACGCTGTCTCTGTTTCTCAGCTTCAGGAGCATCCAGATGATGTCAGTTGGCGGCTTGATGCAAAAACTCTTCCTTTAAGTCTCTGTTGCCAATTTCAACAGAAATAAAGCACAGAATAAAAAAGGCTTGAAGCCATCTAGTTGTCACAGTCCAGTGCAGTCCAATCATATACCTTTCCCCTCCTGCCTTGTCCTATCCCACGCTGTCTGTCTGAGAGGCGGGCAGCCTCCCATCTTATCAGCTTCTTTCTCATCACACACTTATCAAAGCTCCCTTTTCTTCTCCTACTGCTGCTGTTTTTTGTTCGCATTGCTCTTGTCACGGAAAGTAAACACCGGCAGTTATTATCTCTCTGATGCCAACATCTCAGATAAGCCACATCTGCTCTGTTGTACATCTGGTGTATGTAGTAGCAAAGTGCAAGCTCTGTGAAGGGAAATAAGACTCAACTGCAGTTCATGCTGATTCATTTTGTAAAGCAAAATGTTGTGAAGCAAACATTGCATGGCCTTGTTTTGACAGTAATACGGGACACTTTTCAAGATATAAATATTTTTCTTTATAACTCCTGTTGCTTTTCTCCGAGTGTCTTCTGGGTCTTTAACAGTTGGTCAAGCAAACCAAGCAATTAGAAGATGTCATCTTGGCAGTTAGAATGGTCATTCTTTTTTTCTGATTCATCTGATATAAATCATTTTAGCCCTAATATATATATGGATAAAAATAAAAAATGACTCGAACCTTGATAAATGATACAACTTGATTGATTACAAAGACCCTGCATGGTTGCATGCTTTTTCCTCTTCTCTGTATGGGCATTTGTATGTATATGCCTATACATATGTGATTTTTTTTTCTTTTTGTCCAGTAGAGGAGTCCACTCTCCATGGTTTGAGTGGATCTCTAGTACATGTGTGTCTGATCTTTGTACCCTACCTCCCCCCCACCTTCTCTCTCTACAGGGACACACAGCAAGCTGGTCAGTTCCCACCCTCTCCGGTCCCTCTGGGCACGACCATTCATGCCCAGAGGGATGCCGGCTGCAGGCCATCGAAGTAGTAACCACTAAGCACCATAAACACTGTAGCTTTACACTCCGGGATCACATTCAGGGACCTCAGCAGCGTGCTGGCTGTGTACACTATCTGGTTCAAGTGATGTCACAGGGGGCAGTGGATTTAAGCAGGTTTTAGTTTGACGCTAATCCCCTTGTGACAAACGCTGTAGAGGAGAGAACTATCCCTGCCAATGGCGTGCATCAACCCCATTGGATTAGCGTGTGTCGACCCCTCCTTCTTTTCTGTTTGCATTGTCCAGCATGTGGTTTTACCCCCAATTTCTTTACCCTCTGTCTTTGTTTGGAATTTAAGCGTCATGCCCAGCGCAAACATGGCCCCTGCTGTAGAATGGAATAGAGCTGCGCCCTAAAGGTGTGGTTTTGTTTTGGGGTTTTGTTTCTGTCTGCATGTATATGTGTACTCTCTCTGTTTGTCATGTTGTGCCTCTCTCCTCCATGGATTTCTAATGTTTCCAGGGCTGAATTATTTAGATAGGCTGCCAGCAGGGAGCTACATGATAGCACAGCCTTAAGAGTGAGGGGAGGGGGGACCTACAGCTGCAGATCAGGTAAAAGGGTACCTCATGTCTCACCTTTTCTCCTCTCCTCTCCAGTCCTCCCTTTTGACTGGGGGTGAGTGTAACTGGAGAGTTGAAACACAATACCAGGGCCTATTTTCCGCTTTTATAGCTGTCTTTATTGTCTTCACTGATGCCTAACTCAAGTGAGCAGTCGCATTTTGTTGGCGCTCTGGGCCAGCGGGGTCTTCAATGGACTGAAGGCCAGAAGACGACTGCAAGTCGCTGTCACTACTGTGGCAACATTGCAGGGCATAGGAATTCTTTGGCACTCGGCGGGGAAGACTGTGGAATTTGTTTTCACTTAGGTCTTGGTGAGAAACAGGATCCAGTCCTCCAGCCATCGCTGTACAGGCCGATCCAGCAGGACCGGCATGTGCAGCAGCTACTGAGGAAGAACTCTATGCCTGATCTGAGCAACAGCATCTACCTTAGGCAACTGATGGCAGGCCGGGCCTCTGCACCACCTCAGGATTATTACCTGGCTGACACTACCTTATCTGGTCAACCGCATGAAGAGTCTGGGTTTTATAGGGATAACCAGCACATGCTCACCAGATCAGCCTTGCATTATGGGCCCAGTGCTGGGGGGGTGAGGACTATCTGGGATCAAGGACAGGCAAGGGCTACACCTTCCGTGCTTGCCTCTACGTCTACCACTATGCCCCCTCCCCCTCCTCCTCCCCCGCCACCTCCTCCCCCTCCCGTTCATGAGCTGAGCCGTTTGTACAGGGAAACTCTGGGATCTAAGATGATCCCAGACGGCCAGCGTATTGGTGGCAGCTCTCCCTCTCCCGCATTCTACGGGGTTCAGCCCCATCTTCCTATTTATGCTGCTGAGCCACCGTCTTTCTCTGATCATCAAGCTTATAACATAATCAACAGCTTGTCACTGGACCCCTGCCAGCCAGCTGCCACCAGATCTGTGGTGGACCCCGCTTCTCAGGGAATGGACGGAGCTCTCCCCCGGGGTTATGGAGCTGTGGCCTCCCAGAGGCTGCCTTATGACCCAAACTATGACCCCAGCTCAGCCATGGTGGCTGCCACAGCTGGAATGACATCCAGCCTGCCATCTCACCATCCCAGTGCTGCAGACCCTAAGAAGATGGTGGACCCTACCTTTTTGTCTTTCCTGCGAGCTGAAGGCTTGGCTGAGAGCACCATCACTCTCCTGCTGCAACATGGCTTTGATTCCACTGCCACGCTGGGAATGATGGAGGACCATGATGTCCGCTCTGTGGCCCCAAACTTGGCCCAAGCCCGTGTTCTGTCCCGTGTGGTGCTTGGTTGCAAGGCAGGCGGAATGGCAACACGTGCCCGATCCAACAGCTTCACCCACCGCAGTGACCTCTACATGCAGCCTCAGGGTTTGACCATGGACCCCAGCCTGATGCAGCAACCTCCCACCACCATCCAGACTGTGTCCCCGAGGATGGGAGAATTTCTTGGGAGAAGACCCAGCAGCGCACCCTCCCAACACCTCCTGGAGACCACCACCTACCCAGGAGCACGACCCATGGCAACTGGAGCATTCCCAGTTAGCCCTGGAGGATATAGCAGTGGTATGACTCAGGGAAGACCCCTCAACATGTACAATGCCCACACCGGTCTTGCCATGTCTGCTCTTGGACAACAGCCTCCACCAGCTCCGGGCACCCCTGGATTGGCGCCCAAAACCTTCTCTGGCTCCTATTCCCCCATGGAGCTGATGAAGAGAGCCCCCAACCTTCCCCTAACATCGCCAGTAGCAGCGCAAAGCCCTCTTCACAGCCCCCAACTTCTCCGGAAAGGGATCAATGCTGCTCCTGAAAACACAATTGTTCCCGTAACTTCTTCCTCCACTCTCCAAGCGCAATACCAAAACAACACCAAGATGGTAGGACGTCGCACTGGTCCACCTGTCATAGTCTCAACCATGGCCCCCACACCTGACACAAGTAATGTCAAACCTCACCTTACTAATTTCTTCAAACCCTCTCTCCTCTGTCCTTGTTGCTGATTTATATTTTTAATGTAGGTATTGGTAATACTTTTGTTTTTCTGATTTCATAGATTAGATGCATAGTGAGATTTGTATGATAGATTTGTTTTTGGCATACTACAAAAAATCAGACAGTCAGACAGTTCTTTTTAAATGGAGTAGCCGCATGTAAGATGCATCTGACAAGTTAAGCAGCTTTGCTTTGAGAGGTGTTTTTTTTTTTTTTTTATTATGCAACTATTTATACATGTATTGCAACAGTTATGTCATTTGCCGGAGGGGATCCTGTCTCATCACCAAGTTAAAATATTTTTTATGCGCAGCACGTTAATGAGGTCAGTATTTTTGTCTTTTCCTTTCCCTTAGTTTATTGGTCAGAATCTTTTTGAAGCAATGGTTTGCTTTTGGAGTTGTTTTGAAGCCCCACCTTCCTTATTGAAGGTTTCTTGTACGTGGTTTGTTCACTTGCTGTGGTGAAAATTTTACAATAAACATTGGTGAGCACTTGCAGAATAATTTGGCAAGAAAACAACAACCAGATACAGGATAGTGTTAACTAGTTGTTCTCTTAATTTGGAGTTAGTAAATGTCAGAAACACAAACATTTGTCTTTAGTATGGAGAAGTTTATTTCTATGATGTAGAGTTACCTTCATTCTATTTTACACTGTACTCTCTCCTAATCAGGGGATTAACTGCCTCAAATCCAATTACAGTAATTGGATGTATAATTGTGTACACTATAATAGGAAACTGTTTTTGTAGACACCCTGTCTGTCTTGAAATTCTGATTTCATAGTAGTGACGCTACAAATTCTTGCATATATTTTATTTGTTTGCTATACTTACAATATACTAAATCATTCTCACCTCAGACAGTAAAGGAAATTTGTTCTCTAACTGCTCAATTTGAAAAGTAGTAGAAAGTGAATATCTTCTTCTCTGTGCTGTTTTCACTAACTTGCCAATTTTTCAAAAACAAATCCCATAGTTGAAGCAGTATATAAGACATTAACATGATTGACAATTTTTAAGAACTGATTTACTTTTTTATAGAGTGAGAGTAATGAAAGAAATGTTCCGCTTTTGAAGGTCTCTTAACCATGCTGCTGCGTACAATAATTCAAGACAAAACTGGCCTCACAGAATACATAAACATGTTGAGCTTGTTTGTCTCATATGAAGTTAATACTAATAGTGTGGCAGCTTTTTATGCTCAGTTTACTGTGAGTGTGAATTCTCAAGCAGGGCATCATCTCAGCTTATTTATATACAGAAAGGCCTTTTTGTTTTCCCTTAACAAGTTGATATATTTCCCTGCTGATGAGTTCTGATGAGCTTAGTGAAGAATTAAATCTTTTAACCTTGCTTTTAGCCATATAACCCTGCATCTTGCCTGCATCTCTAATGGGTCTGTGGGTTGCTGCACTTGTTATAGAGTAATGACTTTTATGAAGTGGCTTCCCTTCATGTGTTGTCAAGGAAATAAGAAGTGAGGTGCAAGATTGAGGAGGTTGAAGTCCTTTTTTGCGTTTCATGCTAATATATGCTGCTTTCCAAGGTCACAAGCCCCCCCAACGACACTTTTAGAACAACAAACTCATTTGCATGTAGCTGACATTTGTTGCTTCAGTAACTTCATCTGATAATGGGCAGTCCTTGCCGTCGATCGGAAAACATACTTGTTAATTGTGTGTTGCTAGGCAACCCAGGTTTTGGTGGTAATCAGAGATAGATAATCTTCACATTTAAGGGAAGGGGAAAAAGTGAAGCCCTGCATGCGCATTTATTTTTTTCACTTATTATTATTATTATTATTGTTATTATTATTATTTTCAACAGCCATTTGCAGTTTGGAGCAAGAGAAAATTGAGTGAAAAAAACAAGATGTTGAAGGGCACTTAATGAAAACATTTCTCCTAGTCTCTTTCCCTCTCCCTCTATCTCTCTCTGAGCCATTTACATCTCAAGAGAAGGCTCTAGCACACCAGACAAGAGACTCTCTTGTTACATGCATGGTATTTTATGTTCAGACATGCATATTGATGAAAAGTTGACACATTATTCCTTTTGCACCTACTGAATAAATTGGTTGTTCTTCCACAACAAACAAGTCTTCACTTTATAATATTACATCAAAGATTACATTTACACATAGCTTCTGATGGATCCACATTTTCAAATAGTTCCATAATAATTTATTTTTTTAGTGCCAGAATGAAATTAGTAGCTCCTTAAATATTTATGTAAAAGGTGCAGGTGGGAGGGCCCTGTACTCCTCTCTGCTGGGCACTGTCTTGGTTGGCTAAAGCTGTAAGTAGTGTTAATAATGGCATTAAACGGTCGAGTTGAGCTTAGTTGCACCAGTTCCCTTCCTCTCAAAGCAGGGAGAGCGCCTTGCAGCACTCGCATTGGCCATGGAGTTGTCTGTCAGTAGCATCCCACAGAGCAGCACAGGTGGGTAAACCTAACTTCAATGTCACGTGAAGCAGAATAGCCAACCCGCTTGCTAGAGATGTGATTGGCTAGTAGCCTGCATTGTGTGCATGCTCAGTAGATTAATTAAGGTGGACCCTTGCATTTGTCCACAAATGCCAGCACGTGGTTTCCTTGCAGAGATAATCCACAGAACATCTTCAGCTGTACTTTTCTGGGCTGGAGAATTAGCTGGCAGTGTGTTTAAGGGCATGGTGTGTAGCTTACAGGAAGGAGAAAGACCAGAACTTGGCAAGAGCTCCTTGTAGCCATATGGCATTTGTCAGTTGACGTGTTCACCTGTATAAGTCTTTTCTACTTGTTCCACTGTGCCCAGGTTGTATCCGCTCTTTCCTGGGAGGTTAGTCAAAACAGGGCAGATCCCCTTTTTTTTCCTTTTTGAGAGGAAGCCATCACTGTTGCGGCCGACAGTTATGTAACCTTCCACTGCATGACTCCCGTGGGGGCCTGAATGGGATTTTAATTTCCCTGCCTGTATTTGGAAGGACATTCACGAGGATGCATGCCTAACGTGCTCTCAGCTGTCCTTGGCTAAACTGCTTTGTTCAGGTGTCTGACATTGATTTCAGTGTGCACTCCTGCCTGTTTTCCACTGGCTAGTCAGGAAGAAAACACTCCTTGTGTGTCAGTGTGGCCTTAAACTTTGTTTCTGGACACCCCTGTATTTTTTTGTGTGTTTTTAGATACAAAGTGGTGTCTGTGTTCCTGTGCTGCCCCTGTGCCTTTTCATTGTATGAGGGTGCTTTGATTTGATTTGATCTTATGTTGCCTCAAATGAATAGCTCCAAAGTGTTTGTGCCGTTTGATATATGGACATGTGTGTGTGCTTTTGTGGACTACACACAATGCTGTTGACCCCCACTATCCTGCCACACATATACACAGACCACGGATGTTCCCCTCTCAGCAGCAGGAAGTGTTTGTATTCATCTGAGGCCGGCTGGATGTGACAGCAGGACATGGGGACAAGACACTAAGTTTCCTCTATCTGTCTCTTTCTTCCTTTGACAAGCACTATTTACTGTGCATATAATGTGCATTCGGAAAGTATTAGGAGAGTGCTGATTGTCATTGTTTGGCCTCTACTTTAGCACATTGGATGTATAATTAAACAGTGACAAGGCTGTTTTTAGGTTTATTGGGTGAACAGTGTCGGACTGGTAACCCTGTTTATAAATATTCCCCCGAATTTTAGATTAATGATCCTAAGCGTAAAGAAAAGAGTTTGTTTTTTTTTGAGTGTTTTTGTATAGTGAGTCTTAATACCTGAGTCAGTCACCTGATCTCAATCCAACTGATCATGTGTTTCACTTGTGGAAGACCAGAGTGACGGTAAAACACAAGCAAGTGGCGTGTCAATGGGTCATCGATTTTAGATTATCATCAGTCACTGACTGCTAATTAAATATGAAAATGTGTGTTAACTTGCCCAGTTACTTTTTGACCCCCAAGAATGGGTGACTAAGAAAGACTACAGTTACCATAGTGTTTATCTGATGTGGGTGTAAGCATTAAAAGAAAAAGGGGGAAAAAAGGTAGTTTTATTTAAACTCCAATGATATGGAATACAGGCAACACAACAAAAATGTATCACTGTCCCAATACTTCCTGGCTGCCCTGTATATCGACCCCCCCTCCTTACTTTTTCTTGATGCGGTAATGGGTTAGGGGCTGTTACTGTGGAGGGATAGTGGCTTATGTTACCTGTCTAGGAATAGGCTGAGAATTAGAGTGG